CCGCCGGGCCGGGGCATGTATCTTACCCCCTTCGCAAGGCGCTGGGTTCTTGCAGGTGTGGATGTGGTCTGGATGTTGTCCTGTGTCCTGTGGTCTCTATTTTAGGACGATTTTTCTTTGTTATGTTTTCATAGCTCTATGTGTTTTTGGGAGGAGATTTCCACTGCTCTACTCACGCCGCCATCCTGGCTCCACCGTGTTGTTGTTTTTTTAATTAAGGTATCATTGATATAAACTCTTATGAAGGTTTCACAAGAAAAATAATGTGGTTATTAATTACATTAACCCTTATTATTGAGTCCCCGCCATACCCCACTGCAGTCACGGTCCATCAGTGTAGCAAGATGCCACAGAGGCCCCACTTGTCTTCTCTGAGCTACACTGTCTTCCCCCTGACCCCACACACACCATGTGCACCAATCATGATACCCCACAATCCCCTTCTCCCTCCCCACCCACCCCACTCACCCCTCCCCCTTGGTAACCACTAGTCCGTCTTGGAGTCTGTGAGTCTGCTGCTATTTTGTTCCTTCAGTTTTGCTTTGTTGTTATACTCCACAAATGAGGGAAGTCATTTGGTATTTGGCTTTTCTCTGCCTGAGTTATTTCACTGAGCATAATACACTCTAGTAGCTCCATCCATGTTGTTGCAAATGGTACTATTTGTTTCTTATGGCTGAATAGTATTTATTCCATTGTGTATATGTGCCACATCTTCTTTATCCATTCATCTGCTATGGACACTTAGTCTGATTCCATATCTTGGCTATTGTAAATAGTGCTGCAGGAAACACCAAGGACCTTGTTAATTCATTTTCTTTATTAGCTGTACAGTAGTCCTGCCTTACCAGCAAGCAGGGCATGTGTTCTAAGATACCCTGAAACTGGATAATGCTGAGCCCCATATATGCTGTTTTTCCTATACATACATGCCATAAAGTTTAGTTTACACACTAGGCATAGTAAGAGGTTAGCAACAATAGGTAATAATAAAGTAGAAAAATCGTAGCAATATACTGCAATAAAAGTTAATGTGAATGTGGTCTCAGAACATCTTACTGTACTTGCCCTTCTTGTGATGATGTGAGGGGATAAAATGCCTGCATGATGAGATGGGCTGAGGTGGATGACCAGGCCTTGTGATGCAGTGTGAGGCTGCTGGTGTCCTTCTGACACTGTGTCTGGAGGAGCTTCTCCTTCGGTGCCACGGTTGACCACGGGTAACCGAAACCGTGGATGAAGAAGGATGACTGTAGTTGGTTTCCTCACTCCTCCCAGTGTAACATTTTCTACCCAAGACTTTTAAGGCATATACATTAATGCAGTTTTTTCATATCATTGTAATCTTTACCTGGTATAGTTAACTGGCAAACGAACTCTTTTTCTCCAGCTTATGTTGAGAAGTGTTCCTAAAAAACTTACCAGAATGCTTTTAATAGATTTGTAGAGCTGCAGTTCTTCCAAATGCTTCTGAACTGACTTCTGACTGACAGGTAAAGGAAGCCAGTGCTTGTTACCATACTTGTGTTTTCATTCATGAGATACCACTTGGCTTTATAATAATTTACTGGCCTATGTAGAGAATATAGACCAATATTGGGAGAGAGTTAATCCAGTAGGTAATTTCATGCCTGTTTCACAACTGTGGAGGAGTAGAGGGAGTGGTTTATATCAGTGAGTTGGATCCCACATGTAAGAAGACCGTTGAGCAGAGAGAGTGGGTCATGGGCATCTTTGGGTGGTGAGGAGCATGTGGAAAGGGTGTGAAGTGGCTGTTGCTTGGCTCATATGAAGAACGCTCTGAAAGCCTGCATGGCTTGGACACGATGTGAGTGAGTGTGAGTCCTCGCTGTAGCATCAGAGTGGCAGTGGGAACCAGACCGTGGGGCCTTGGAAGCCGCAGTAAGGATTGCAGCTTTCACTCTGAGTTAGGGGGGAATCATTGGAGTGTTGCAAGGAGTCAGGTAATTGAACTGACTTAGTTTTCAACGGGCCCCTCTGGTGGTTTTTTGAAAAGTGGATTCTTGGGGGGGACTTTGGATAGAAGTGAGAAGGAGATAGATTCTGGGCACATTTGGAGGTGGGACTGTTAGGAGTTCTTGCTGTTTTGAACATAGGAAGTGACTGAGAGGGATGTAAGGATGTCCCTAGGGATTTTGGCCAAAACACCTGGAAAAGGTGGAGTTGGCATTTACTGAGATGGGAACGATTGGACAGAGCATATGGTTGGTGTCAGGATGGCGTTGTATGTTGAATTCTGAGTGTGTTAGCTTTGAGAGGCTCGTCGGGTGTGAGATGAGACATGGAATTGGCAGTTGGATCCATGAGCCCAGAATTGAGAGAAGGTCGTCAGCATTTCCTCGAAGCCATAGAGCTGCATGAGACCAACAACAGCCAGAGACTGGGGCCTCAGCCTTTAACACTGACAAAGCTTGGGACGGGAAGGGACGCTGGCAGGGACCTGGAGAGGCTGGTGACTACAAAGGATGCCAGATGGCAGTGCTGTCTGGGAGTCCAGGCAGGGGGATACTTTAAGAGACGGTGATTGTCTCATTAAAATTCTGAGGACTGACCGAGGCCTGAACATGGGGTTAGTAAGTGAAGCTTATCATAGACACTACAGAAGAGGTTGCTTGTCCGAGCGGTAGATACAAACTCTGATTAATTGTTATTACTGGATCCTAATGGTAACTCTAAAATGTCTTTACCTTTCGACAAAAGTCTTTATAGTGAATGAATTTGAGCTCTAATTTGTTCTTCCTTTTTTTGTTTCCTTTATAGCTATGATACCTGGGTCCATAGTAATGATGTTGATGCAGAAATTGAAGATCCACCAATTCCGGAAAAGCCATGGAAGGTGAAAGATCTTTTACAGAAACCCTTGCTCTTACGTAACTTAGTATCTCTCCTCACTTGTTCTCCACAACAGTGTTCTGAGGATCTAGAGAATGGTGGTCTTCCACTCTTGTCATCCTGCTAAGAGATGCCCGTGACCATGAAGACCTCATTATCGAGGCCTTCGATGAAATGTGAGAGTGATGTTTGAGAGCCCAAGCCAAGTTAAGCTGTGGTTTGTGACTGTTAAGAGGGGAGCGTGGGGAGTGGGGTCGGCCATCATCCATGGAGTCAGTGGGAGGCCGGAGGCAGGGCCCACCCAGCCTTTGTTACTGCTCAGACTGACTGCACTCGTTCACACTGGTAAGAGTCCTTGTAGCCACTTTTTATTTCTTAACTTTTAATGGGGAAATAATTTTGAAATTTGCAAGAATAATACAAAACAAAGTGCTACTTTATACTCTTTTTCCAGAGTCCCCTATCGTTGATTAGTTCAGGAAATTAATTGAAACAATATTATTACCTGATACAGGCTCATGTTCCATTTTCACCAACTGTCCCAATGATGTAGTGTCATACAAAGTTTTTCCTCATCCGAATTACAGTTTGGGGTCATGGTTCGTTTAGCATCCAGGTCTTTGTCTTCATTAACCAGGAACTTGGAAGCCGTTTAGCTTCTGGGTCTGTCTCATCTGTGTTAGGAGCCCTCAGGTTTTCTTTTTCTTTGTAACACTGTCAGTCTTGAAAAGTGCAGGCCAGTTTGTCTAAAAGTGTCTCTGGACTGATGCTTGAGTGATGTTTGCGCAGGTGTGCTCAACTGCACGTGTGGGCTGTCCTACCCAGCCAATCCCCGGCCTCGGTGCCCTCCGCGGGAAGGCACGTGTCAGCTGCCCACGGCTGGTAGGCAGTGCACCCTGTGCTGAGGTACTGTCTGGCTTTCCCACGGAAACATTACTGTTCTTCTCATCGAAATTAAAATATATCTTACAGAGAAATAGTTTGAGTATACAAATATTCTTTATTAAGTTTGTATAACAACATTTGCTCGTCCATTAATAATCCCTGCCTGATGGGAACGAGTCCTGCTTCTCTGATTCTGCCTGCCTCTGTGTGCTTGCAGTCGGCATTCTGCAGAAGGGATAAGCTTTCCCTTCTCCCCTTAAGCCAGTCTTTGGATCCGTACGCACTCCGGGAACAATGATGTTGTTACTATTCTTCATTGTATGAATTGTACAGAATATGGCCAGTGAGAAATCCTCTGACCTTTGGGCATTATTTGATCCATTTATGTGTACTTCCTACTCTCTGGGACAAAAAGATGTTCAGACTCTAATTTCTGTATCTCAGACGTGGAATTGGCGTTTCTGTTAGTCATGGTAATTACAACGAATTTTATCAACTGTTTTACGTAGGAGAATGAGCACTTAAATTGAATCACAATATTAGATTTTAGACCTGGTTCATCCTGTTTCTAGTTATGTGACCTTCAGAAAGACTTGGCCCTTGAGCTGTGGATACCAAATGAGGATAATAAAAATTAATCTTCTTAACCTTTTTATTTGGAGGTAATTCCAAACTTACAGAAAAGTTGCAAAAATAAGAATAGTATGTGGTATGCCTGTTTACCCCTTACCAACACACCTGCCTGTTAACACTTTACTCCCTTTTTGGTTTATCATTTTTACTCTGTGTTTATATATATATTTTTTCTGAACCATTTGAAATAAAGACACAAATATCTTGGGCTTTTACTTCCAATATAAGTGTTTTCTAAGAATAAGGAATTGTCATACATTAACACTACAGTTACCAAATTCAGTGTTTTTAACATTGACACAATACTTTAATCTCTTGTCCTTATTCCAATTTTGCCACTTCACTCGGTAGTGTTTTGGGGTTTGTTTGTTTTAATAATGCCTTTATTATGTTGAGCTACGTACCGTCTACACCCACATTGTTGACGGTTTTCATCATGAATGGATGTTGAATTTTTGTCAAAGGCCTTTTCAGCATCTATTGAGATGATCGTGTGATTTTTATCTTTTTTGTTAATGTAGTGTATGATATTGATGGATTGGTATACAAATATTGTAATATCCTTGCATCCTTGGAATAAATCCCACTTGGTCATGATGGATGATCTTTTTGATGTATTTTTGGATTCAGTTTCTTAATACTTTGTTGAGGATTTTTGCATCTATGTTTGTCAGGGATATTGGTCTATAATAATTTTCTTTTTTTGTGGTGTCTTTGTCTGGTTTGTTACTAGAGTGATGCTGACCTCGGAGAATGAGTTTGGAAGTATTCCCTTCTCTCTTACTTTTTGGAATACTTTAAGAAGGATGGGTATTAGGTCTTCTTTATGTGTTTGGTAGGATTCGGCTGTGAAGCTGTCTGGATATGGAAGTTGGTTTTGGGAGAGTTTATTTGGGGGGAGTTTTTTGATTACCAATTCAGTTTCATTGCTGGTAGTAATTAGTCTGTTCAGATTTTCCAATTCTTCCTGGGTCAGTCTTGGAAGGTTGTATTTTTCTAGGAAGTTGTCCATTTCTTATAAGTTGTCCAATTTATTGGCATATAATTTTTTATAGTATTCTCTGATAATTCTTTGTATTTCTGCAATACCTGTTTTGATTTTTCCTTCTTCGTTTCTGATGCTGTTTATGTGTCTATACTCTTCTTTTTTTCTTGATAAGTCTGGCCTAGGGGATTATCTGTTTTGTTTGTTTTCTTGAAGAAACAGCTCCTGGTTTCATTGATTTTTTTTCCTATTGTTTTATTCTTCCCTATTTTATTTATTTCTACTCTGATCTTTATTATGTCCCTCCTTCTACTGAATTTGTGTTTCATTTGTTCTTTTTCTAGTTTCTTTGTGATTTTAGACAGTTTATTTAGGATTTTTCTTTTTTCTTGAGGTAAGCCCATATTGCTGTGTACTTTCCTCTTAGAACTGCCTTTGCCGTATCCCACAGATTTTGAGATGTTGTGTTTTTGTTTTCTTTGTCTCCATGTGTTGCTTGATTTCTGTTTTAATTTGTTCATTGATCCATTGATTACTTAAAAGCATGTTGCTTAGCCTCCATGTGTTTGTAAGTCTTTTTGTTTTCTTTGTGTAATTTATTTCTAGTTTCATACCATTGTGGTCTGAGAAAGCTGCTTGATACAATTTCAGTCTTTCTGAACTTCTTGAGGCTTTTCTTGTAGCCTAGTATGTGATATATTCTGGAGAACGTTTCATGTACACTTGAGGAAAATGTATACACTGCTGCTTTTGAGTGGAGTATTTTGTAGATATCTGTTAAGTCCCTCTGATCTAATGTATTATTAAGGGCCTCTGTTTCCTTATTTATTTTGTCTGGTCAATCTGTTGATGTGAGCGGCGTGTTAACATCTCCTAAAATGAATGTGTTGCCCTCTCTTACATTCTTCTCCTGTGATTGATGATTTTCTTTACTGTGGTAATTGGATTTCTCTTTTTAAAATTTATTAATTTTGTTGTGTGTGTATTTATTGTAGGCTTTAGTTTGTGGCAACCAAAAGTTCAAGGACAGTTTCTTTACTATGTAATAGTCTATCTTAAATTGCTGATTGCTATATATCAAACACAATCTGAAGGTACTTTTTTTTTCTTCCTCTTCCTCCTCCTCCACATTTTTTGTATTGGATGTCATAATCTGCACTTTTTGTGTAACCCCTCACTGATTTTTTGTTTAGTCGGTTTTGCTTCTTTTGTTTTGTTTTAATCCCATACGTAATTAGTTGGTCTGCTACCTTTACTGTGGGTTTATTTCCACTGCTGAAAGTTACTTAGCCTTAGAGTCATTTCCATCTACTGCAGTCTCTTTAACATATCCTGTAGGGCTGGCTTAGTGGTGGCGAATTGCTTCAACTTTTGTTGATCTGGAAATTGTTTAATCCCTTCTTAAAATTTAAATGCTAATCTTTCCGTGTAGAGGATTCTTGGTTGGAGGCTTTCTGTTTCAGTACATTAATTATATCATGCCACTTCCTTCTGGCCTGTAGAGTTTCTGTTGAGAAGTCTGCTGATAGCCTGATGGGATAAATAATCTTTTTTCTCTTCATTGGCTGCTTTCAACACTCTCTGCTTATCCTTGATCTTTGCCATTTTAATTATATGCCTTGGTGTTTTCTTGCTGGGGTCTTTGTTGGGGGATCTCTGCACTTGTGAGTGCCAGATTGGGGAAGTTTTCAACAATTATTAAAGAGACTTTCTATCCCTTTGTCTTTCTCTTTTTCTGGTACCCCTGTTATGCAAATATTGTTTTGTTTGGATTGGTCACATAGCTCTCTTACTATTCTCTCATTCGTAGAGATCTTTTTCTCTGTTCCTCAGCTTCATTGTTTTCCTGTTCTCTAATTTCTATTTCATCTACCGTGTCGTCTATATGTTCTAGGCTACTCTTAAGTCCCTCCATTGTATGTTTCATTTCAGATACTGAGTGGCTCTCTTACAGGTTCTCTATCTTTGTTGATGTCCTCCCTGAGATCTTGAATACTTTTTTATAAATCCATGAGCATGTTTATTACTTTTATTTTGAAGTCTTTTATCAAGATTGATGATGTCTGTTTCATTAGCCCTCTTTCTGGGGAAACCACAAGCCCCCCTTGTCTTGTGGTTTCAATTGGATCAAATTCCTCTGCCTGCCCATTTTGTCAGGGATTCTGTTTCTTCCTTTGTATTAAAACATCTCTGCTGTGCTTTCTGGCCCTTCCCTGTGTGGTCCTTTCGTTCCTCAGGTGGGAGGGGTCTGCTCTGCAGTCTCTGGGTCGCTTTCAGGTCTCTCTAGTGGTTTTTATAGCCTTTTTTCAGTTACAGAATCTCAACAGCATTGCATTGGGGCTGTGCCTTGCCTGTCTGCCCCTCCTTGGTGATGTCTGTCGCCTGTTAAGGTATTCTTTAATGGCTCCACTGTAGAGTTAACTTTCCGCCCTGTTTGCAAGTTATGATCAGTCTGTGGGAGGTTTTTTTAGAGTGTGCCCACATCCTGCTTCTCATCAGAA